GTTTAATCACGTACATCCTCACCAGGATGTATTAAAATCTCCCATTAGAATATGGGTTTAGTATCTTCTCCCTATGGCTCTTTCCATTTGGGCTGTATATGTGTTGAGAGATCTTATTGAAGTATCTATGTTTTAAATGGTTTGTCTTCCTGGTGAATTGAACCTTTATGAAAATTTAATGAGTCTCTTTTTCTATAGTAATAATTTTTTGAGCCTTAAAATCTACCTGATCTAGCTTTAATATAACTACACCAGCATGATGCAGCATTTTCTATCCTTTTGCTTTTAATCTTTTCCTGTAAGTAATAACTAGATCATTCTTATAAACAGCCTTTAAGCCCCCTCCCCCACCCAACTCCTTTTTAAAATTTCACTCTGATAGTCTTTCTTTTTTTAGCTGGAGATTCTGTGTCCATTTACTGATATATTTGGATTCATTTCTATCTTACTTTAATATTTCTGGTCATCCTACTTTTTCCCAGGTTCTTTTTCCTTTCCAGCATTGTTATTTTTATTTAAATTAATTAATGATTTGGGGGGTGGAGTTCCTACAGATATGTTAACAATCTATAACTCAATTAGATTAAGCGTAATTGTATAATAGGCTGCTGCCATCAGTTTCAAAACCAGTTTCTTCTTGAACTCTTTGATATCAGCTCGCTCTCCTTTATCCCCTCCCTCCCTAGGAACCCTTATTATTTTATTACATATATTATGATTATTGTTGCTGCTGTCGTTGTTTTTTGCCGTATCTTAAAGCATCTAGCATTATTTTAAATTGTCCCACTCTTTATTTCATTTTCCCCCTTCTATTGATTGAGAAGTTACACATTCTCTGTCTCCTCTTTTAGTGTTAATCTTAGAAACTTTACCATGAATATTTTAAAACCTTAATCAATATGCTCAACCTCTTGATCAATACAGGACCCTTGGAATCTTAAACTTCCAACTCCTCCCCCCCAATGCCCAACTGATAGGCCCTGTCTGCCCAGGACTTGGGTTCGGTTTTGTTGTATCTTCTTTCGGCCCTTCTTCATCACCATGATCAGGGCTTGAGACCCAGTGCTGGTTTGCATCTTCTCTTTATCATGTCTTCTTACACCTCAAACCGTTTTTAGATCCTTTCTTCTTAAGATACAGTCTTGATTCCCTGTAGTGAAGGCCAGCCTGGTGTTTCCACCTGTCGTTGAGCCCTTGCGTGTTTGTCCAGCACAGCCACATGACACCCTCATTCTTCAAGGGTGATTTTCTTGGATCTCCTATTTTAGGTTGACAGCACTTTTGTCTTGTCTCATTTTCTCTCGACACTTGCAGACTGCTGTGCGGCTTCCCTTCTTTTGTCTGCCTCGTTGCTCCACTTCAGGTGACATGGTCTCCTTGTAGCCAGTCTGCATGTGACTTGTTGGACGGCCAAATCTGGAGATGGGCGTCTTTCAGCAGAACTAGAAAAGTCTCAGCCATTTGCTAGTCGACCCTTGGATCATTCTTTTCCCCTCTTCACTGTGGAACTCCAAGTAGACTTGTGTTGGGCCTTCTTCCTGTGCTCCACACTGTCTGACTCTTCTACCTAATTTTCCACCTCTCTACCTCTCTGCTACATTTTAGTTAAACTTTCAGAGCTCTCTCCCAGTTCACTCATTTTCCTCTGGGCTCGTTTTGTGTTTGTTTGTTTGTTGGCTTGCTTGATTTTGTTTTTAATTTCAGAGTATATACTTTGCCATTTCTAGAAATTCTAGTTAGAACGATGTGAGATCCGCCTGCTTAGTTTTAATAGTCTAGTCCTCCTTTCTATTGTTTTTCAATCCCCCCTTTCTTAAAACATACTTTACTTTCTATATCTAAATTTGTTTCCAATATTTGCAATCTTTGGGGTTCACTCTGTCGTATCATTTTCCTGTTGCATCTTTCTTATGGTGGCTGACTTTCTGTTTATGAAGTAATGTTTTTATTGTGAACGTGGTTTTTGAAGTCTTGCTTGTGGGAATTCTTTGTAGCCTGAGTTTAAAGTGTGTTCTTCCAGAAAGGATTTTTTTTCTGTTGGTTAGCACCACTGGACACTTGAAATTACATTTAGGTTGGGTCTTTGGGGCCTCTCTATTAGTAGAAATTCTGGCCTCACATCCCCAAGACTTGAAGCCTCTGGCTAACAATTCTTAGGGGAGCTTTCTCTCTCCACCTCCAGTTCACGGCGGGGCCGAGGATTTGCATGGCGTCTGTCCCCGCTCTCTGTCTGGGGGGGAAATTGCGTGTCCCTAGAGCCTTCTTTGTGGGCGACCTCCTCCAGGCTTTCCGGTTTTGCACATGGTGTGTATATGTGGAGACATTTCTAGTGCCTTCTTTCCTGGCCCATCTGGTGTGTTTCGGTTTTGAACTTCTATTTGGATAGTTGCTGGAATTAGGTCTGAACTAGGGGTGCTTTCTTCTAGACAGGATTCACCTCTGAAACCTCTGCTGGGAGCCGGAGGGACCAGTACACCTGAGACACCCCTTCAGGAGTTAGTCAGCATGGGCCTCCCAAGAGCAGCCTTCCTGACACACACATGCCTCCATCCCTCCCCACCCCCCATGTGCTTGGGTTCTTCTCCCAGTACGTGAGACATGTATATGTGCGTACGTGTATATGGGTGGGTGAGTGGGACCCTGATCACCCTCTCATTTTCTAGTGAGTCCAGCAAGGCTTTAAAAATATGTCGCTTTACTTTATCCGGCTCTTAGGAATCCCCATTGGAAGAGTGCTTCCCAATGTTTGCCCCTGCAAGGAGAGGAAGACACTGGCCCTGTCTTCCAGGTCTTTCCGCCTGTGGTTGGTTCTGAACAGAAGGCCTGTGCCACCTGCAGCCCCGTTAGTCCAGAGCCCTTTAGAAGGTGACTGGACCCTAGATAGCAGCCTCTGGGCTCCAGAGAGGACCACGGTATGTATAGTAGCTGAAAGATGGAGGCCACACCTAGTGGTTGTCCTGTAGTGGAACAAATAGCCAGTAGAGAGGACAGCAGTGTGTACCCTGCTTGAATCACAAGCTCTACTCGAACTTACCCGTTGCAGACATTCACTGCCTGAACGAATGTGATTTCTCCTATTTTAGCTTCAGTATTTCCCACTTGTCTCAGAAGAGTTTGTGCCCGTTTCAGTTAGAGATCAGCGGCACGTGGAATTGCTGAGCCACAGGCTTGCCTACGCTTGGAGAGGCTTGGTCAAATCACGTGATTTCAACATATGCTAATACATGATCATGGCGACAGGTAAACTCAACTAAAGCGGACTGAAAACACATCCCATGCTCACTTGAGTGAATTCTCCTCCCGGCTTGCTCAGGATGGCTGGTGACCTGTGAGCATTTGCTGACCGGTAGTGACACGCTGCAGAAAGATGTGGCAGTCGGTTTCTGCCAGGGTGACAGCAGTTCTACTCTGCCCTGGAAGGTCGCTGGGGGTCAGGAGCCGCTCAGCGGCAGTGGATTTGGGGTACTGACAGCCCCTGCAGGGGAATGTTTGACTCTTGTCAGTGCAGCCAGCTTGTCACTTTCTGCCAAGTTTTATGTTCAATGTATGGATTATAAACCATGCCAAAAATTGCTAAAAAGAAGCATTTATGTTTCAATTCTAATTCTCTGGGGGTTGCATCCGTACCTGCTTTTGTCAAGAAATTGTATCCATGGACATACTGGTTTCCTACCTCATCACAGTCAGCATCCTTCTTGGAGAGGGAGAGGGAGCTAGTTCTGCTTACCCAGCCTGGGGGACCACCTGGAAGTTTTCATTTGCCAGGAAAGTGCTTGAGCGAGGCCCTGTCCCAGCACGTGATCGGTATGTGGAACCATGTCACCTGCAGGGTGAGCAGTGTGGTAGACTGCGTGGACCTGCAATGTAATGATGGTGCGATGTGAACCACGCGGCCTGCTGGGCAAGAGGTGAGGGGCATGGACAGGGCGGCTTGCAGGGTCGGCAGCATGGGGATCCGGGTAGGATGTGGACCGTGTGGCCTGCGGTGTTGCCGGAGCGGTGTCAGACACCCGCACATGGAGCTCAGAGTCCAGGGCTATGGGTGTCGTCTTTAAGCCTTCTGCTCTTGTTCAGAAAGTCTTCGTGTAATGCTAGTGTCTGCATCACCTCAAGGAATCCTGGCGGCAGAGTGGTTAAGCGCTGGCTGCTAACCATAAGGTCAGCAGTTTGAAACCACCAGCCACTCCTCGGGAGACTGACAGGGCTTTCCACTCCCCAAAAGAGTTACAGTCTGGGAAACTCACCTTTTACCCTGTCCTTTAGGGTCACCCAACCGACTCCAGTGCTTTCAGTAAATTAATTCTTCAGCCCTTGCCCCCAGCATCTGTAAGGGTAGAACTTACAGACCCACCTTGTAGCGTCAAGGGCAACTGCAGGTCCAGCCAACAGGACCCAGCAGGTGGAGGTCAGGATGTAGTAGATCATTGCTCTCTCATTAGCATGCCCTCTGCCTGGGACTTTCTTCCCTCTCAGACCAAGAGCATGCATCTCAGTGGCGATGGTATCTGCACCTGCAGCAACCTTGGGAGCCCCCTCCTCCTTCCCTAGGTCATGCATTTGCTTGAGGGATGGAGCGAGGGAGGCACTGTCCCCACCTGGCTGGTCATTCTCTCCGCTGACACAGGCCCTTGGTCTTTTAGCTTTGGAGTGTCCAGCCAGCTCCCGGCAGGGCTGTAGGACCCAGGGCAGCTTGATTTCTCTGCTTTCCGCCGAGCGTCCGAGTTGCTGTGATGAGGAGGGCGACAAAGCTGGGGCTGCTTGGGTTGAGGGGTTCTGGTCCCTATCTTCAAAGCTAGAGCCCCCCGTTCCACTGAGTTTCCCCTGTGGCTGTGGAGTTGAGGGAGCCTTGGCTGTGACCCTGGATGGTTTTGAACCGCCGACTTCTAGGTTACTGGTTGCGCATGGACGGTCTGTGCCAGCCAGGGACCCCTGTGTCTCCACCGGAGGGTGTTTAATCTGTGTCCCCTTTGTGTCCCCTCCCACCCACCACCCGCCTGCAGGAACGGCATCCCCAGAGGCCGGATGCGGACTGAGAGCGAGCCGCCATGCGGCTCCCCGGTGGTCAGCGGCGACCCCAAGGAGGACCACAACTACAGCAGTGCCAAGTCCTCCAACGCCCGGAGCGCCTCCCCGGCCAGCGACTCCATCTCCTCCTCCTCGGCCGACGACCACTACGAGTTCGCCTCCAAGGCCACCCAGGAGGGCAGCGAGGGCAGCCAGGGCAGCTTCCAGAGCCACGAGAGCCACAGCGACACGGAGGACCACGACAGGAAGCAGGGCCCAAAGGAGGCCACGGAGGCCCTGGGAGACAGCGGGTACGCGGCCCAGCACCGGAAGCGGCACCACCTGGCCAAGGCACGCAAGGTGGCCAGCGACACGCTGCCCCTCAAAAAGAGACTGACGGAGAAGCCGCCCGAGAGCGACGACGAGGAGATGAAGGAAGCCGCGGGCTCGCTCCTGCACCTGGCCGGGATCCGGTCCTGTTTAAATAACATCACCAATCGGACGGCAAAGGGGCAGAAGGAGCAAAAGGACACCGCGAAAAATTAAAGCAAAACAAAACAAACCAACAACAAAACATACCCCGAAAACAAGTCACCGGTTTGTTTCGAACTTCCGGCCGTTTGGTTTCAGCATGTCAGGAGAGCTCTGATGATTTGTGGCAATATCAGCAAATTAGTCATTTCCTTTCCTTCTGGTTTGGTTTTCTGTTCTTTTCTTTGATTTTCTTTTCTTTTGGTCCCCCACCCCACCCCCCCACCTTTGTTTCGGACCCTTGCGGATTTTCTTTTTAAAGGAGATTGAAGCCATAGAACTCATATGTTGACACTCAGCTGTTTTACAAAACAAACAAAAAGCTTTTCATTCTCTGAAGACAAAACCGGAAAAGCCAAAATGACCACTGTTTCCTCCAGCTTGTCAGAAACGCGTGGCCGAACCCACGGGATGTCACCGTGAGGGCCCCAGGCAGGCCCCACCCCACCGCCACCCCTTAGGTTGACAGGGTCCGGGCAGCCATCTGCCTGGACCCTCTGAGCCACCACGCGGGAAGCGATTGGGCCGCAGGGAGAAGTCCCTCGTCCCACCCTCCGGGCTTCTTAACCGTGGAGTTTGGTAACAAGGGCTTAGGGAGTGGATAGCGGGGCTGTTCGTAGACATCAGGCGCCTGGGTCGTGAGAAGATGGGATAAAACGTTAGTGATGTGACTTATCATTGAATTCTGTTCTAGATTAAATTAAGAAAATGTTCTCGAAGCCATAAGCCTGACACTTGGCCCTGCACACACACACACACACACACACACACACACACACACACACACACACACCGTGGAAGAAAGGAGAACGAAGAAGATGCTGATGCGGAACACAAGCTGGATCTTCTCACCTGCCCGAGTGAAAAGCAATCACCTGAAGAGATTAGCGTAGCTGTAATGCAGAGAGTCTTGGTGCAAATAGTTTTCTTTCCGTCCAAAGCATTTGGTCCAAGTGAAAACAAATGAGCTACAAACCCTGCCATTCGTATCGCGGTGTCCTTTCTCAAGGGTGAAGGCACTGATGAACAGAAAGAAGACCTGGGCGGCCCTCCACGTGCAGTTTTGCAGGTCGCGCCGTGAGGCAGTCAGCATGGCCACAACCAGTGGTCTCCACCTTCAGCTAGTGTAGCCAGCCAGAAATTTCCGACCCACCATGCATGGATTCCTTTGGGGTGGGGTGGGGAAAACGGGGAAGAAAGGAAAAAAAAAAAATCACAAAAATACAAACTTTCTTTTTTCAATTCAAAAATAACCAAGTTCTTGTAAGGTAAATACTGTATTTAGCATGAAGCATGGGTTATTTTCATAGACATAGAGAATCTGCCTCTGCGTTTTAAGCCCCTAGGGTTAGAGTTCTTTGGTCCCCCCTCTTTGGTTTCCCCACCCCCTCTTTTTTTTAAAAATTTGTTTTCCAGTTATTTTTGGTTTGAGATTTTTGAAGCAGATGCTTAAGGTTTAACCTTCTTCAGGGACAAATTCTGAGTGTTGGGGAATTTACTCTGCAATATCAGTCTCTTCACGTCCTGGTCGGGCTTGGATGGCACTGCCTTGTGGCGTTCAGCCCCGACCCCCCTGAGTCTCTGTTTGTGAAAGTGTGTCCTTCTCCTTGTCTGTCCGTGTGTAACATGACGCAATAATCTGAGGGCAAGGGTAGTCGTGAGTGTGTCTGACAGAGTCGAGAGGATTGTGGGACTCAGACTCGTAAGCAATCACGTCTGTGGTGTGGCTGTAGGCAAAAGGCAGTGGATAATTATGCAAACTCGCCGAGAGAAGGGGAGACGCGCTCATGGGCCTTATTAGATGAGGGTAAGAGATAGGGTACGCCTGATGGAGAAAGTGAGACCCGTGTCGGGAAGGCCAGCCCCAGACACCGTGCCGTGACCACGCCACTTCACGGGCGGAAGGAAGGGCTGGCTCCCTGACCACAGAGACACACCTGGCTCACGTGGATCTAAAGACCACCTAGCTGATGAGAGATGGAATTTAGACAACCGGACAGTGTCACGCAGTCCAGAGACACCTGTGATCTTTGCCTACAAATATGTATCTCTGTTTAAGACCCCCAGGGAAGTGTGTAAAGGAATCTGATCTTCCGTCGAAACGGAGGGAAATTTTCCAACCATGGACATTCCTGCTCAGAATGTGGCGGTGGGGAGAGCGAGGGAACCGGGGTGACGCTGAACTTTAAAGCCCATCGGTAGCGGGAGGGGGGGGTGGGCGGGAAGCTTGCCCATTCCCCAGCAGGAGGTGCTGCCCCAAGCTTCCTTCCGCTGCCCTTCCCGGAGTGGCTGGTGGGAGACCCTAGCAAGGCAGATGCTCATGCAGCAAGTGAATTCATAACCTGAATCCCCACCCCACCCCTGGCCCCAGTGACCATGGCGGCATTTCCCCCTCCAAGCAACTGCATTGGTGGGGGGGTAGGGGAAGGCGGCATGTCCCTCAGTGATGGAGTATGGAGAAGTAGGTGGCCAGGCTCTGGGTAGGGTCCACCCCCACCCTCCACCTTTCCTGCCACCCTCCACCTTTCCTGTTTGTGCTACCAGGGACCTCCAGAACCTGAATCTTTTCAGCATGTTTGTTCAGGCTACAGGTGGGACCAGGAGAGTCTTCTTAATATGCTCTGTTCCCTCCATCTCCACAAACTCCCGGACACCCCAGAAGCTAGCCATCCACAACTGTGGGACCTGAGCAACTCGCTGATTTCTATTGTCATAACCAAGCCCAAGGGACAAACCCTCTACCCCACCCCCACCCCCCAAACTTGACAAAATTCTAACTTCCCTCCTGAAAGGCAGAGGTGAGCATTCAGGGCCGTGTCTGACAGGGCACTCCTGTCCAAACTCCCCACAGTGGCCTGTCTCCCCCTCGTTTCTTTTTTTTCTTTCTAGAAGGGGGCCTGAGGCCTCTTCTAGAAAATAATAAAATGCAATGTGTGTGATTTACTTTTCTGATCTCTCTGAGACCTAGATGAATAATCTTATAGCAGTGTGTTCTTAACTCCAGAACCACTCTTCTTGCATAAATACCTCATCGGGCAGCTTTCTTAAGTGTTAGTTTTCGAATGAAGCCCCCCCCCCTCCCTGGGTCCCCGAGGAGGACCTGTTGGGGGGAGGGGGTCTCTCTCTTCTGTTTTTCCTTCTGTACTTGGAGGCATACACGTGCATAACCAAAAGAATGGCTCCATCGTGTGTAGCTTCGTCTTTTGAGTGTTGAGAAACAAAGCAAACCAGAAAGCAGCATCCGTGTGTATGTGGCTTCACTGCGGTCTGAGGCTGTCCAACGTCCTGAAGCCAAGGGCGGGAGACACCCTCCCAGCCCTTCCTCCAAGAGCAGTCGAGAATTTAAGCACAAACCTATTTGTGAAAGACTGTTTTGCTTCAGTGTAACTCACCTCCGTCTCTGAATCCCTTCCCCAGCATCCGGTGTCCCGTGTTCCTTCAGCTTCCCAACCCTCCTGTGTGATCCATCCATGAGTCTGAGAGGTGGCTGAGCCCCGCCAAGCCAGGGAGGGAGGACAGGGATGGGTTTGGCTTGTTTCTCCTGTCAGGCTTGTGGTGTCATTCCGGTGTCATTCCAGCATCTCACATACTCCGGGGGGCGGGGGGGGGGGGGTGATGGGGAACCTATAGCAATATTCAGAGATGCTTCGGAAAGCCACCTTGAACACATCCCAGCACGGGGACTTCCACAGCTACTTGGCTTTGGGTCCTCGGACCCATTTAAGGGAAGGCCTCTGGACCTTTTCGCTTCAATCACAGTTCTTTTTGATCCTAGTACCAATGTCCTTTATGGAAAGGGTTTGCATCATGGACTTCTTGTTCATCTGTTTTCTTCCCAGCCTTAGAAGACCACACTCCTCCCTTCCCCACCCCCCCACCCCCCTTTCTGGTGAGTAGTCTTTCAGGAGTTCTTTGGTCAGCAAAAGTGAGCCAAGCCCGAATTTGGACAGTGGTTTTAAAGATGGGCCCAGATAGGTGGCAGATTCCCACCTGGGGGGTTGAGTTGATTTAGGAGAGAGTGTACCGACCGGAGGCCTTGCCAAAGAACTAACCCGTCAGAGGCGACCAACATGGTCACTGGACATAGTGGTTACTCCTGTGACAATCTGGAAGAAGCCAGTGGTCCAAACCTGGGGGACAGCTTCAGGCAGTGGCAACCCTCTTAGCAAAGACTGCCGCGATGGCTCCCGGGGCCACCTGGTGCCAACTCACTCGCTCCCAGGAAGCCTCAAGGTTGTGTCCCTCCGCTGTGTGGAAGGCCTCCCGCCTCTCCCCGCAGGCCTCTTGGGGAAGGGATCGAGTTAAGTCAGAGCGACCTGACAAGAGGCATTTCCATCTGTGGGGTGGGTGCCGCTTGCTTGTTGGCTGAGCATAGCTGCCCAGATGTTACGCCCCACCTTTAGGCGCCCAGAGACCAAGTACGCTCCTTTCATATTCAAGAGTTTTGCCACCAAAAGAAAACATTCAAACTCTGCCCTGCCCTCTGTGCCCCTCACCCTTGGTTGTGGCCCACGTGGCATAGAATCCCTTAGTGTTTTAGGTCCCAGCCCTCCAGTACTATATCAAACACTGTTATGCACATAAATGCAGCACTGTGATCTAATTTAAATAATACTTTTTTATTATTTATACTACTATATATAATATACATCAACACTTTTGCTATATAACCTAAGTGATAACCCTCATTTAGTTACCTGCCAACCTCCGGACTTTGGTTTCTATCGCAGTTAACACAGTTATGAAGTTTAATGGTGTCTTCCCTTCCCGAGTTCTACCCCCACCACCACCCCTGATAACCCACCCTTTGTAAGGGAATGTGTAAATCAAAGTATATGCATTGTGTGGTGTCCCTGTCCCCGAAGCCTCACGAGGATTTACACATGGCATTCAGTGTTCTGTATAGACCCGCTCACCCTCCTGAATTCACGCCCCACCCATTCGCTGGGGCGGGCACCAGCCGTGGGGGCGTGGCCCTCGTGTTTTCCCTTGGACTGGTTATTCTTGAATTAAGCACAGGCTCATCGGCCCACTTGCTTTATCACGAACGATGTGTGTGATCTGGCGTTTCTTCCGCGGCTCAGCAAAACAAGTGCCGGCTTCACTGACCAAAAAAAAGAAGGAAGGAAAATACGATGTGTCCGCCCACCTGTCTTTGAAGGGCCGAAACCCAGTGTGTCAATGGTGCTGCATCTTGGTGTATCTCTGAACTGGGATCCCTCCTGGCTTCGTGCCCTGAGCTCCCCAGGGCCCGGCCTACTGGTTGGTGTGGAGGCCAGGCCTTCCCTATTTGGCCTATAGGCAGCAGTGTGTCTCCACTGTGCTCTCATTTGCAAAAGCCGAGAACCACCTGCTCTCTCTTTTGCGAACAATTGATACTCCATATTGGATTCGCACAGCCTTCGATATGGTGAACCTATCAAACCTAGGAATGGTATTGCATTCTTTCATGACTGGCCTAAGTCACCCCCCCTCCCCCCCCTTTTTTTTAAAAGATGAGACTTGGCACACTTTCAGTTATTGAAACATCCCACACATCGTGCGTTTGTCTGCTGAGGTCATCCGAGCTCACAGTGGATTCAGTGTCCAGTTCTATCTGTCGTTCACACTCACTACGTAGACTGCCATGGCAACCATGGATGTGGTGGGGACCAGTATCCATGTGTGTCTGGGGAGCAGTGGACACTTGTACTTTTTTTTTTGTTTGGTATGCTCTGAT